ATTGTCCCAAACCCTGCCCTTTGGTTCATCAATCCAATTATTCAATAATAAGAAAGTTTTATCACTTCCATATTTTAACCACACAATATTGCTCTAATGCTGTCTGTCCTCAGGCTAAGAATGGTGAAACTAGGAAGTTCACCTAGGATTTATTTTCTTTTACCCAATTATAGCTCTGGGTAATATCTGCCTGCTTTGCTCAGTCTTCAGTGCCCTTAGATAGTTGTTTATTTTTACATATTCTCCCCCCCCCACCCGTAGTTTATTGTTGCTTTCTATGGAAGTGTTGGTCCAATAAAAGTTTATCAACCATTAGCAAAAGAGAAGTCCATGATCATTAACTTTAGATTTTCATCTTTAGTATTATAAGTATTTGAAGCTATGCATTTTTGGGGGTGCTTGGGTGGCTAATTCAGTTGGGATTGGAGTCTTGATTTCAGCTCAGGTCATAATCCAAAGGTCATGGGATGGAACCGAGCCTGCCCCTCTTCCCTAATTGTGCTTTCTCTCTTAAATAAATAAATAAATAAATAAATAAATAAATAAATAAAGCCATGCATTTCCTTGTAAATATTGCTTTTGCTATATCTCACATATTTTGATGTATCCAGTTTTTTATTATTTGTTATATTATTATCATTTATTCAAAATATTTTCTGGGCATCTGGGTGGCTCAGGGCATTAAGCATCCAACTGAAGCTCAGGTCAGGATCTCATGGTTCACAATTTTGAGCCCCATGTTAGGCTCTGTTCTGATGTCACAGATTCTGTGAATCTGCTTCAGATTCTCTGTCTCCCTCTCTCTCTTTCCCTCCCCTGCTCATACTCTCTCTCTCTCTCTCTCTCAAAAATAAATAAAAGCATTAAAAAATGTTTTCTTTCTAATATACCCTATGATTTCTCTTTGACTTAAGTTACTTGGAAGTATTTAATTCTCAAAATTGTGAAGATTTTCCCACCTTATACTATACATTTCTATTTAATTTCATTGTGTTCAGGTAAACCAGTCTGATTTTAATCTATTTAAATTTATCCCCAGTGCAATCTCTCCTAATGAACATTCTGTGTCCAGTTAAATAGAATGTATATTTAAATAGGATGTATGTTATTATTGAGTCTATAGTGTCAATTTGGTTAATATAATTGCTCAGATTCTTACTAAACATTATTCAATATTTCTAATAATTAATAAGTCTATTGAAATCTCATAATTGTGAATGTATTATTCTTTAAATTTTGTCAATATTCCATGAATTTTGAAAGTCTCTTATAAGGAGCATACATTTAGGATTGTTATATATTCTTGTTAAATTTTTCTTTTTTTCATTTTGAAATGTCTCTGATACTATTCTTTGTGCAAAGTACTTTTTTTTAATATTAAGATAACCACCTCAGTCTTTATAAGTAATTGTTTACATTGTATCTTTTCCCATACTTTAGATTTTAACTCATCTCTGCCTTTGTATAGAATATATAGTTGTAGGTAGCATATAGCTGTTTTTTTTTTTTAATTTAATACAGTAATCTCTGCTTTCAATTGACAAGTTTAGATACTTCACATTTAATCTAGTTATCAGTAAGGTAGGACATGTGTACCATGGTGTTGTTTATTTGTCCCATTGGTATTTTGTTTCTATTTTTTCTCTCTTTCTCAGTTTCATTTTGTGTTGAGAATTTTTTCCATATTTTTCATTTTTTTAGTCTTCCATTTTATCTCTACTGTTGAGACTGGTGGCAGCTACAGGGCTTGTAAAATTTATCTTTTACTCATCACAGTCCAGTTTCAGTAATGACACTTAATGAAAGAAGTAAGAACATTGCCACAGTACACTTCTATTTTTCTATCCCATTTATTGTGTAGTGTTGTCATAATTATCTGTCAAGTGTTATAATCCTCAATCAAATTGTTTATTTTTGCTTTAAACAAATAAGAATCTCTGAATTTTTTTAAAAAATGGAAAAATGGTTTCTATTTATCCATGCATTTACCATTCCCATCTCTATTCATTTTTCTGTGTAGATCTAAATGTCCATTTGACATCACTTTTATTTTATCTGAAAACTTCCTTTACATTTCTTTAGTGCAGTTATTCAGAAGAGGAATTCTCTTAGCTCGTTTGTCTGAAAATACTTGTATTTTTTTATTGGGCAGGAGGAGAATCTTATTGAAGTATAATGTATATACAATAAAATAAACCAATTTTAACTGTGTAATTTGATGAGTTTTGCCAAGTGTATACAATTGTGTGGCTATCCCAGGTGTGATATACCCAATCCCTGTCACCCCAAAATTTCCTTCATGCCTTCTTACAGTCAGCAACTTCCTCCCAACTACTAGCCCCCCGCAAAAATTAATCTTTGTGTCACAAGTTTTATCTTTCCTAGAATGTTATATAAATCACATCATATAATATGTGGTCTTTGTACCTCACTTTTTTTGCTTAGGATAATGTTTTAAAATTAACTTATGGTATTGTATATATCAATAGATCATTCCCTATGGTTATGTTCTTTTACTATTGAGTAGTATTCTGTTTGTATAAATATGTCACAATTTGTTAATCCATTAACTATTTAAAGAACGTTTGGGATATGTCTAGTTTGGGCATTTATGAATAAAGTTCTTTAAAAATTCAGATAGAAGATGTTGGGTGGATATACGTTTTTATATATTTTGAAATTACTTGGTATTACTTGAAACTATTATGTATAATGGAAACTACCAAAATGTTTTTTTCCCCCAAAGTGATGGCATTATTTTATATTCCCATCAATAATGTTTGAGATTTCATATAGATCCACAATCTCACTTGCTTTATCAGTCTTTTCAATGTTAATCATTCTAGCAATTATGTGATATTATCTCATGATTTAAATTTGCATTTCCCTAGTGACTGGTGCGTGGAGCATATTTTTATATGCTTATTTATCATATGTATATTTATGTCTTTCAAGTCTTCTGATCAATTTAAATTTTGTTATCAATACTGTATTAAAAGGATTCTTTACATATGCTAGATATGAATCCTCTTTGGATGTATGGTTTGCAAATATTTTCTTCCATGCTGCAGTTAACCTTTTCTTTTCTTGCCGGTATCTTTTTAAGAACAATAGTTGCTGATCTTGAAAGTGTTGAACTTGACAGGGTTTTGTAATGCTTTTGGCTTTTTTATTATTTTTAAGTTTTGTTTTGCTCCCTTTTTATTTGTTTTTGTCTTTGTTTTCTGGGGTTTTCTTTGTTTTGTTTTTGGAGAGAGACAGAAGGAGATGGAGAGAGGCAAAGAGAGGGATGGGGACAGAAAATCTGAAACATTCTGAATTTCTGTTTTTGTTTGTTTGGTTTCTTTGTTTTTGCTGTTGTTTTATCTCTAGTACTACGGTTTGGTTCTTTCTTAGAATTTCCATTTCTCTGTTTACATTGCCCATCTGTTCTTACATACCATTTACTTTAACAATAGATCCCCTTAGCATATTAATTATAGTTGTTTTAAATTTCTGGTTCTGATAATTCCAACATTCCTGCCTTGTGTGGTTCTTAAGCTTGCTCTGTCACTTCAAATGATTTTTGGCCATTAGGAATTCTTTGTATTTTTTTTTTATAGCTGTCCACGATGTAACAGGTAAAAGGAACTGCTGTAAATAGGCAATTAGCAATGTGGTGGTGAGGTAGGGGGTAAGGAAAGTGTTCTATGGTCCTATGGTTAGGTCCCAGGGTTTTAGTGAGCCTATGTCTCTGGAATGTGTACTTCACAAGTATTTCTTAGGTTTTCCTTACTCCTAACGTGGGAGAGGATAGTAGGGTAAGCTGCATTTTGTTCTTTCTCATTCTCAGGTCAGTTAGGTTATAAGACTCCAGCAGCTTAGGCTTTAGTTAACCAACTTTCCCTAGGGAAATACCTTGTTAAAGACTAGAGTGTTCTGGAGTACTTTTAATGGTTCCTTTCCCCTCCCCCTGCTAGAATCATAAGGTGAATTTTCTCTGGTATTTACGGTGAGATTCTGGTCAAGCTCACAAAACTGTAGGAATCTCCCCCACCCTTGAGCATCTTCCCATGAAGATTCTAACTCTCAGACTCGGCTACACTGAGCCTCTAGCCTCAATTACAGTTTATATTTTCCTATCCCAGCACATGTATCTGTGGCTGTTCCTCCCCCAGTGTGCCCCAGCAACCCCCAACTCCCTGTATCCACCTGTCTGCCTCTTGAGTCTCAGCAGTGATTTGCCCTGCATCCCCTTAACTCCTATAAAGTCAAGATTTATTGGCTTCTAAGTCTGTTCTGCTTTTTAGTTGTTAGGAAGGAATGGCAGACTCCTTACATGTGAAACTAAAAATCAGAAGTCCACTTAGTTTCTTGTATAGAATAATTCAGAAAAAGCAGAAATCATATATATATATGTATATATGTATATATAATTTATATATATAAATATATAAAAAATAAATATATATTTATTATAATAAACATATTATTATAATAAATATATATTTTATATAATATTTATATAATTTATTTAATTTATATAATTTATATATAGTTTATAAATATAAAATAATATATTTATTATAAATATATAATATATTTAATAAAGAAATTTTGACACATTCCCTTTAAGATCTGGAATAAGACGAAGATCTGCTGTCAGCAATAATTATTAGCCTTCCACTGGATGTCTTGCCTGTTACTCTAAGATATGAAAACAAAACCTACCTAAACAGCAGATTTCTACATTATTGTGAGTACTCAAAATGCTTTCAGGTGTCTAACTACAGACACGTTTTTGTCAAGGGTGAACTTGACAATCTGATATCATTCCTTCGCATCTAGTTTTGGATAGTGGTGATAATGAGGATGATGACAACGGTTATCCTTCATAGACAAATCTTATACCCAAAAAAATCTGAAAACTAAGCATTTTGGGGAACTTTAATTGGTGGTAAAATCCTTTCCTGACCAAATCTTATTTGTCATCACGTGAAATGGACTCACAAGAAGCTATTTATAGTCTTTATTCTATTTAGTGCTAAAATTCATGTATTTTGCTGCAGAATTATTCATGTAGGCTTCTCCAGGACCCTTGATTGGTGTTATGTGGCATCCAGTATATGATCCTTCTTACTTCACATTCTCAATTCCATGGCACCTATGACTCTGAAGGTTTCTGGAAGTAGCCTATTAAAGGAAACACTTATTAATAGTATATTTTATTATATAATCTTCCAAACAGTACTATGAGATAGATACTAATATTATTACCATTTAACAGATGAGAAAGGGGACGGAAAGAGAGGTTAAATAAACACTTAAGGATACACAGCTTGTAGGTAGCAGAACTGAGGTTTAACTCTGGCAGCCTGGATCCAAAGCTCACAAACTTTCTACCACTTCTTTCACTAATGGTAGGTGGGGGCAGGGAATACTTTCTTTTCAATCCTACCTACTCCACTCTAAGAAAACTGAACCTTGCCCTTTTTCATTAAATTAAAAGAGAACTCTAACCTCTCCTTTAAAATTTGGAATCTATACCATACTACTAAAATATGAAGGTCCTTTTATATCACTTATTCTCATCTATCCAAATCATTCTGCTCTGTTTGTTATACTGAATATTGTTTTCTAATGAAACTCTTTCCTCTTGACATACCTGAGCTGGTTTGGTATTCTTTCTATACCTCTGTGAATATTCCTTTTGTTTTGTTTTTGGCTTTCTCTTATGCCTCAAAAAAACTTAAGTATTCAACAAAGCAATGCTTTTACTTCTTCAGTTTTCTATTTAGACTATCTTTCAGCCATGTTTAACTCTCCGTTTCTGACTTGGATACAAAGGAACCACATCTTGAAAGGTTCTAGATGGTTATTTCCTCATCTGCTGGTAAGTTCTGAGACTTGTCTGTGCTTGAAATCCAAGAGCCATAGTCAGAGAGACCACAGAGCAGTCCATGGAATATGCAAATAGACAGGCTCACTTTCTTCTTAATGGCAATAGCACAAGTTTTGCAAACCCTCACTCTGCCTAACGATACAGAAGATTTAGCCCATTGGAAAGAATTGGGTCCCAGAGTATCATAAGGAGTCGCAAACAGGTCTGATTCATGGGATGTTGCTATGGTAAACTTCACCCACTTGATTATAAGCCCTTGGTGGGCAGGGCCTGCTTATTCTATTGTGCTTATTTATTTTTCTTTCAGGAATTAAATAGTGCCCTGGATGTCACAGTGCTGTGAATTAAATACCTTAGCCTAAGACAAAAGGTAATTAGTAGAGCTGAGAGAAAGGTGCTTTTCAGAATACATGTCACTTGGTTCCTTGCCAAGAGGAAAACTGCAGAAAAGTTATTCATCAAAAGTTGGCATTCTAGTTTTAGCTCCCAACCAATCCAATGAGTAAATGTGGAACAAAGCACTTTCTTTATACCTAGCTTTGTTTATTTACATTTTTCATTCGTCAAATAAGAGAAATCTATCAAATTTCCAGCATATACAATGAGGTTGAGCACATGATAGATTTTATTAAAGGATTTGTATAAATATCTTAAAATATATATAGGATAATTTCAGAGTGGCTAAAATGTATCATAAGTAGGAAAATATGCAATATATTATACATATATATGAATATTATGTATACATACATATGAGCTCATTTTAATAAAAGCATCCACAAGTGTCTGTGAGTGTGAATAGGGAAGAATAAATCCCTAGAAGGAAAGCAAATTTGTTATAAATAAAATAGTTACAAAGTTCAATGAAAGAATCTTCAAAGTAATAAAAATCAAAAAATAAACAGAACAATTTATATGGCCAAGCAAATAAGATTACCACCCAAGGTAGGAAGGCTATTAGTGCATAACTATGTCATAAATAAAAATAAAGTTTCAGTACAGAAGTGCAGCTTAATTCAAATTTGAAAGCAAAGGGGATCATAATATTCCATTAGCACATGGAAACAATTGTGTCATTGCATCCCTTTTAATCTGAATATGTGCTCTACTGATTATTTGTTGTTCTTATTTTTAGCAAAAGTGAGGTGTTTGGAGTTTAAGCTCAAGCATGGAGAATTTTAATATTAGCTTTTCCTATACAGTTAAGCACATTTACCTATATTCGTGATTTATCAAGCTCTATTACTATACCTTTTTGAACAAATTGCTTCTCACATGCAAGAGTTTTGAGTAGTTATTACTTGGTTTTGCACTTTTCTTTTTGAAATTTGTGAATGGACAATACATTTGCATGGTTCAAAATTCACAGTGGTGTTCAAGTTCACAACTTTTCCTGAGCCCATTGGAATGATGATGTTTCAAGGCAGTCAACTGGTCCAGAAACTCTAAGAAAAAAGACAGGAGCATTCAGGGAAACACAAGATAAGAGTAGTGGCTTACCAAGAAAGGATGCAGATGGACAGCAAGAAGGGGTCCTCTGTCTCTCCTTGGCAAATCAGCTGGGGTTATTGGAAAATTGGTGGAGATCGAAGGTGCGCCGGCAAGTGGGTGAAGGCCCTGGAAAACGGCAAATACTGGGAGGTGTGCCAGCTGAGGACTCAGAAAATTTTGGTTCATTTCTGAGAAAAAGCTTCCTTGTGACCCAGAAATGAAGGAAGGAAACAGTAGCTCCTCTGGGGGTGGGAGATATTCACAAATTTCAACTGAGATATTTCTCCTCTCTCTTCCCTACAAAATGAAAACACCTAAACATGGAGTGGGGATGGTTAGCACCGGTGCTCATGGTACACTGGTGAAAACTCATTGCAGCCAGGGGAAGAAAATAAGAAAAGAGAAACGTGAAGCCCTGGAGGAGGGGCATAAAGATCTACTGGACTCAGAACTGCAAAGCAAGCTATGGGACTGAGAAGAGAGACATAGCGACTAAGACGAAGACTTAATCAGAACAATAGGGAACAACTGCAGATGTAGCACCCATCCCCAAGCACACACCCAGGAAAAGAAGCACAAGTAGCATATAATTTGCAAAAGACAGAACCTCACTGGGACCCAGTATAAAGGGAACACTAAAAGCATGGAAGTAAAAAGTCCTCTGAAAACCCCTAAACACACAGTATTATTAGAAGAATTTGAAACCTGTGGTACACTGACAGTAACCATAGCAACGACAAATCTGAAAATTCCGGTTTAGTAAGTTAAATAAATTGTTCCCCCCATCAGAGTCCTAGCAGGAAGAAAAGCATGACCATTTCCAAGTGTGAAAACTATTTCCTATACTCTCATCTGTCCTGCACAAGATGTACATCTTTCAAGAATAATCTAGAAAGCATACAAAAAACTAAGAAAAAAATGGCACATTCCTAAGAAACAGAGCAATCATTAAAACCAAACTCAAATATAACAGACATGTTGGAATTAACCTGAAAGGGAATTTAAAATAACTACAATAATGATGTTAAAGGCTCTAAAGGAAAAAATAGACAACATGTAAGATAGGTGGTTAAATTTAGAAATTATAGTGCAGAGTCCAATGAACACAACAAAAATGCATAACACATTAACAAGGAATGTGTTTAATAGGCTTAATAGTAATCCAGGTACAGTTAAGGAAGGAATCCATATACTGGAAGACAGGTGTACAGAAATCACCCAGGATGGAATGCAGAATATGATGAAGGAGCCTACAGATGAATGAGATAAACACAGTGAAGCGAGTGGGGAAGAAAAAAAATCAACCTAAGTATCTGGAAAACAGTGTTTTGACTGCATAATCCAAGGGTTAAGGTCAAAATAACTAAAGGGATAGAGCATTTTAGTTGGTAAACTTGTTTCACCTATACCTATGGGACATATTATCAAACTGCTTTATATGAATACTAGACTTGAACAAGTAAATACACTTTAGATACAGTCTGAGATCTCACTGAGAGAGGAAGAAAGGGGGTATGTCATAAGAACACTGGAGGCGCCTGGGTGGCTTAGTCGATTAAGCGTCCAACTTTCGCTTAGGTCATGATCTCGTGGTTCGTGGGTTCGAGCCCCGTGTCGGGCTCTGTGCTGACTGCCAGCTCAGAACCTGGAGCCTATTTCAGAGTCTGTATCTCCCTCTCTCCCTGACCCTCCCCTGCTCACGCTGTCTCTCTCTCTCTCTCTCAAAAATTAAAAAAAAAAAAAAAAGAACACTGGAGCCAGTTTTTAAAAAAAGCTCTCAGTGACCAAGGCTGAACTAATTTGAACAAAATAAATAGGTAATAGAATTAGATTTACCCCCAAATAAATACATATCCGTGAATCTGAAGTCTTCAGGTTTCAGCCAAACAGGTAAAAAGATTGGAAATCATTACTGCATTTCCCCAAACTGGATCATTAGGTGCATCCAAAGAACTAAAGCTCGTGAGGTTGGCTTACCTGGAGTAGGAACTGCGGTCAAGGATCACGTATGTAGTGGATTAAGAATCGCCAGACTGTGTAGAGTCTGCAGGAGGTGAGAAGCTCCTAGAGGCTGCAGTTAGAGGAGACTCCCAACACCTTCCCGGGCTCTTCCTCCAAGAACTCCACCAGATTTTCACTGGGAGATCTGAGAAAGCTCCTTAAGTGACCTTGACAATGAAAGAGGATAGTAGGTATTGTGAAACTCTCCCAGACCCTTCCTCTCTAAAAGACCCAACCTCTAGGACGGAGGACATCACTAGAAGGCAAATCTGGAAATGTATTCCAGTTTGGGGAAAGAAAATACACTCCACTCTAGACCCATCTTACCTCAATGTCATGGCCAGCGAGGAGCCACAGTCAACAAGAAAGAGGGCTTCAAAGAAATATACTAGTAACACTAGAGCTGGAGAAAAGACTAGTGGATAGGAGTGAAGAAAACTATACCCCTGGAGGAGAAGCAGAAATACTTCATAGTCCAAATCCCCAAGACAGGCCCATGAAAAGACAATCAGAAGATTAGAGCATACCCCTTTTCCTCCATAATCTATCACAATATTAACAAACTTCCAGAAGTAATAAAGGTGGATTATAGAAAAAGGGCTCCAAGACATAGACTCTCTCTAAAAACAGTACAGTGGAAAACTGAAAGCCAAGAGGGGAGAAAAATAAGATCCCCAGAGTAATCCAAAGCCTGTGGTGCTTATAGCTAAAATAAACATTAACTGGACCCAAACTCCTAGGCATGTTAATGTAAGTCCTCATACTAATGACATGTTTACCTCAGTTAGTATTGCTTTGTACACTATGTCTGGTCTCAACAAAATTCATAAGGCATGCTAATAGGCAAGAACAAACACCATCTGAAGAGACCAAGTATGAGAACCAGGTTCAGATATAAAAAAGATATTGGAATTATCTCAGGAAACTTTAATTAACAATGAATAATATGGTCCAAGCTCTCGAGGAAAAAGTGGACAATGTGCAAGACCAGATGGAATATCAGCAGAGAGAGATGGGACCTATAAGAAAGGATAAAAAGGAAATGCTAGTAATTAAAAACAATATTAGCAATGAAGACTGTCTTTGGTAGGTGCATCAGTTGACTTGACATGGCTGAGGAAAGAATCACTGAACTTGAACATAAATAAATAGAAACTTCACATGTTGCAAAGGCACAGAGCCAAAAAGGAGGAATAAAGGATGGAATGGAATGGAATGGAATGGAATGGAATGGAATGGAGAACATCAAGAACTGTGGAACAATATCAAAAGTTGCAATATGCACATACTGAGAATGTCAGAGAAGACAGAAGGGAGCAGAAGAAATATTTGCCAAAATAATAATGGCTGAGAACTTTCCAAATGAATGGCAGATACCAAACCACAGAATCAGAAGTTTAGAGAATGGAATACTCAAAATATACATCATAGAGTTAAACTGCAGGGGAAAAAAAAGAAGATAAAGAGAAAATATTAATGGAATCCAAGGATTAGGGAACACTTTCCACGCAAAAGAACAAGATAAAAATGACAACGGATTTCTCATTTTAAAAAATACTTAACATGAGTGGAATGAGATCTTTAAAACGTTGAAAGAAAAAGGTGGCATCCATGAATTCTATATCCATTGAGATTATCCTTCCAAAGAAAAAAGAAATACTTTCTCAGATAAACAAAAACTGGGAGAATTCCCAGACAGCAGACTTGCTCTGCAAAAAATGTTAGAAGATTTTTAAGCATAAGGAAAGAGATGTAGATCAGACAGTTGAATTTACATAAAAGAAAGGAGAGCATCAGAGAAGGAATAAATGAAGGTAAAATAAATTCTTTCCATTTGTCTCATTCTTCACTGATCTAAAGGACAACAGTTGGTTTGGGGCAAAAATAGTAATATTTTTGATGTGTATATGGATAAGTGAAATAAATAATAGCAATGTCACAAGACAAAGGAGATTTGGGATACTAGGTTATAATGAATTTGCGCTATGCATAAAGCAATATATTGTGATTTGAAGAGGTATTTCCATAATTCTAACATGTATATTGTAAACACTAAGAAAACCACTAAAAAAAGGTTTTGTTTTATTTTGAAAAGGAAGTTTAAATGATGGAGCCAGAAAGGAAGTAAAATTAAGTCATATAAAATATACAGTGAGTTTATACTGATATAAATAAATGATTAAATAAACAAGAGGCTGAGAAGAAGCAACTCTTCCTAACAAAAAATTTTTAAAAAAGAATTAATAAATACAGAATGACTGAGGGAATTAAAAACCACCTCTAGAACAATATAGCAATCATTGCTGTAGTCAAGATCCATTGATGAATGCTAAGATTGGTTGGCAAAATATAAGAAACAGATTTTTATGCAGTCTCATCTCAGATTATCTCTCAAAACACGTGGTATTTACAAAGGGGAAGCAGTGACTTTATAGTGAAATCTTCAGACACCATCTTATTTTAGTGATCAAGATTAACATCCTCAAAATGCATACCTTTAAGATTACTGTGAGCAAAGATAATGCAAATCCAAATTGAGGCGCATTCTTGAAAATACATGACCAGTACTCTTCACAAGTCTCATACAATCGACTGGGCCCAGGGCATCAGGAACTGTCAGATTGGAGAAAACTAATGAATCATAACAAGTGAATGTAAGAGAATTCTTGGTTGGATTCTAAAACAGAAAATGAACATTTGAAAAACTGGCATTACCTGAATAAAATCTGTATTTCAACTATTTCTTTTGAGGGGAGAAGTTTGGAGAAATAGCAACCCATTTATTATTTTTTCAACTTTTCTCTAAGCCTAAATTATGTCAAAAAAAAAGTTTTTAAAGAGTCAAAGTACCTCCCAGCTCTATTTCCATGAACTCTATTCTGTCTTCATTCTAAACTTCATGTTTATCTTTTCAGTGATGATTTATGCAAATATAAGGAAATGTCAATATATGCTTATTTTTCCCCTTTCTTACATGCTAGTGGCATACTTTATGTATATATATATATATAAAATATATATTATATAAGTATATATATATTATATTTTTTTCTTCCAACCAAAAGTATAATAAATATCTGTTTATCCACACCTTCACTGTGTGGAGCCTAAAGGTTTCAATGTGTTTCATGATAAGGTATTTTGTTATTTTTCTAATAGCATCATGGTGTTACTGTTCCTCTTATAATTGAATAAATTGAGTCTTAAAGAGGCTGCGTAACCTTGTATACATAGCTAGGATCACTCAATGTTGAGTCTATATAGAGGTAGTCGTCCTGTGGAATGAAGTGAACTAGGGCGGTGTACCATGTAAGCAAACTGGGCAGATATTTACATTAAATTGCTCAATAGACAGAAACGGGCCATATGATGTCAAATAACCATTCTAATTTATTTACTTTCCTATTCTTTTCATTTATCTCTGTTACAGATTTATTGATTTTGTATTTATGTAGTCATTCCATCCTGAATTTATACCTAGAGTACATACCACAAAATATAGAATCCAGAACTTGAAACAGGCAAAATTAAATTCTGGTAGTAGAAGTCTAGATAATGGTTACCCTTGGTAGACTAATAATTGGCAGAGTGAACTGGGAAGCTTCTAAGATATTCTAAAGCTGGATACTATGTATGTGTTGTGTACTTTTTCTATGCATATCTTAGAATTCAGTAAAATGTTTACCAAAAACATAGTCCATGCTTAAACCCTTACCAGGTAGTTTAACCGAACACTTGTCTGTGTTCATGTTCTTTATTCTACCTTAGTAAGGAATAAGTAGGGTGTTCTCATTGATTCTTCTCTCTAGCCAAACCTTGGCACAAGGATAAAATTTACATATTTAGATGTGCAGGAAATATTAAATTTTTGTATATAAGTTAAATAATGATTTGACTTCTGTTGATTCTAGGATGGCATAAGGATATGGAGTATTAATTTGATACAGGAAAGTCATATAAAGGTCCATTGGCTTCCGTCATTCTTGGTAACTGCAGGCATGCTCAGGGTTCAACCTTACTTAGCTCTTTGAACGTAGACTTCCAACAAGCCTAGGTAAAGAAATCTACCTAGACTGAGAGCCTTGAGCTCCAAACTCCCTAAGTGTACCATAAAGCCAGTCTTCTCTGAGTTTGGCAATTTTCTCTCTGTGTTGCCCAGTGTATATCAGGGTTCTCCAGAGAAACAGAACTAATATGATATTTTAGCAGATATGATATTAGCAGAACTAATATGATATACATGAGAACAGATATATCGATATATTTCTATATAGATATCATACTATATTTATAGCTGTCCATTTATTTATTGAGAGAGAGAGATTGAGATTTATTATAGGAATTGGCTCACACAGTTAAGGAGATTGAGAAGTCCCATGGCCTGCTATCTGCAAGCTGGAGAAGTAAGAAAGCCAGTGGTATATAATTCATTCCACACCCAAAGGCCTGAGAACCAAAGGTCTGAGAACCCGGAATGCCCATGTCTGAGGACAGGGGAAAATGGATGTTCCAGCTCAAGTCAAAAGAGCAAATTCATCCCTTCTCTGCCTTTCTGTTCTAGACAGGCCCTTAGGAGATTGAATGACACCCACCTACATTAAAGAGGGAGATCGGCTTCACTCACTCCACCAATTCAAATGCTAATCTCTTCTAGAAACACTGTAACAAACGCTCAGATGGAATGTTTTACCAGCTCTCTGGGCATCCCTTAGCCCAGTTAAATTGAAATGTAACTAACCATTACTCCCAGGAGGGTGGTCTGTGCTCTTCATTGTTTCAGGACTAGGAACCTCTCTCTCCTCTTAACTCTTGAAAATATCACCAACTCTCTTGCTGTGCTTGTTCCCCAACCCACCCTCACTCCAAAACCTCAAAATTCTCTCTTCATGCTTCCCACAAGCAAAGGATTCCATTGTCAAAGGCTTTGAGAAATAAAAATGTAAATACCAGGAAGGGAAGATATCTTCAAGGGACGCTACAGATGCACTCAGCAGCCTGTACAGAGATATAAAAAAGTTTGTTTGTTTTTTTTTTAAAGAGAAAGAGAAAAATACAATTAGAGAAAAAAATTTCAGTGAACTTACCCTGTTATGTATTTTCCAAAGAATCAAATTCTGGTTTCAGGTACTATACAAGATTCCCTAATGGGCATTTTTGTGCTTCTGAAACTATCAAGATGGAGAATATTGCATTTATTAGGATACTTCTAAAAGATTGTCATTTTCGTGATCGGAAAGAAAACGTTGATAAGCTGTTTTGGGGGAGGAAGAAGGGGGGCAATGATTAAAACCTTCAGAGACAAATAAATCGTTAAAGAGTATGTTTTATTAGGTACAAAGAAATGGTTGTTCTTATCCTGACTAAATACTACTTAATGGTGTTTCAGAACACAAAGTAAAAAGCAGTCATACTCATACCATATTTACATGTCATTCTCTGGAGACTGAAGATCAACTTTGCATCTCCCTTTATCACAGGCTTTACTAAATTCTTATTTAACATTTTAGGCATGTTACAATTTAACTTTTTAAATATATTTTAAGTCATCCCAGCAACCTACGTTATATCTGTAAACCCTACAGAGAAGCCAGTGTAATTATTTAATCGTATTAAATGTCATGATTAAAGGCTGGTTTCCTGCGTTTGTATTATTTTTAAGTATCGAGATCGCAATAAAACACTCACACTTACTTTCCTAAGTGCTGAAATAGAACTATTAGATTTTCTGAGAGCGAAATCAGATACTCAAGCTTCTCCTTTATGCTTCTTCGTTACCCCTGTTTTGTTTGTTTTTCTCCAGATTGTGTTTTTTAATGGTTGGAACGGTGGGGAGAGCAGGCGTGGTGGAGAGCGGGTAAAGACGTGTGTGTGAAGGGGGAGGCTTCATTGTACAGAATGGTCATTAACTGTGATGCAAACGCCAATGTTTCCATGGAAACCTCTGTCCACTACAGAATATACTAGAGCAATTTTTGAACCATTTGTCCATTTGATTAATTATGTCTTTGTGCCGAAGGCAGCTTGGCTTGATTGTCTCATCATGTATTAGGGAAGCTACTGCTCTAACAAATGGGCCTATTGTTTTGGGCCTATTCATCTTGGTGCATCCCTGCGAGCTGATAGACATTTCAACAAAATGACTGTCCCTTAATGAGCTGCAGCCTGTCAGAATTGTTTAGGGCTTCATGCGAGGCGCAGACCATGGTCATGACAGCCTCAGTTATTATGACAATGAGTAGGATGTCTATAAAAGAGTCTATATAAATACAATGACCCTCGTTTTGATATTACATAGTTGCTTTTTAATTATCAAACTTCTGTGTATTATAGTCCGAAAACACTCCTGAATTTTGTTCCAACATAATCTGTAGAGTTTTCTGACAAACTAAGTGAACATGACCACCAAATCAAAAAGAGTAAAATATTTTTTTTCATAATCTGATAGGATTGTTCTTGGTTTCTAATTACCTGAAAAATACTATGAATGCAGTTATGGGAACTGGCTAATGGAAGCTAAGCCAACCTTTGTTATATTATGATGATATTCGTGTTGAGTTGTTAGCTTTCTAATATGAGTGCAAGCTGATTTTACTTGGACAAATATCTCTTAAAAAAATAACAAAGCAAAGCAAAAAATAATACTTAAAAAAAACTTGAGGAGGACCCATAATGTTTACAGAAAAATAAATATGTTTTCAGTAAGTAGGACAAATAAAACATTTTTTCTAGTATCTCAATACACATGAGATGGTTGAATAACAGCCTCGTCTAGGTTGAGAGTACACACCTGTTGATTTTCTCTGAAGACTTGGGAGTATTATTATCCCAAAGTCCAAACATCTTTCACGGGGATCAGTACTTAATAATGATGTGTTTCCTGCCCACAGTAAATTGTAATAATTCTGCTAAAAAAGAAAGAACATATTGGCAATTTTGATTTCATGTTTGCTCAAAGCAAGAGCAAATTCTCCTTCAGAACAGATGAATGCACTTTATAAGAGGGATGGTGTGCCAGTCACAGCCAGAGTCAACATGCCTGAAACAGCCCCTTTGCCAAAAGTTAATTATGACACTTAAGAAAAGCTTCCTACATGTTTTTAAATTGTATATTTCAGTTTTGCTTCCCTAGCTCTTCTGTGCTGGGAACCGTCGTGGTCGATGCTGTATTTCTCCGTACAGAATCAGTGATTAAGTTGTGTCCCCAAAATTCACAGATGGAAATCACCACTCTTAGCTACCAACAGCCCCACTTAATCAGTTAATAACTGGGATTAAACTTAATTCAGATTAATTTGTATTAGTATAGAGTTGGTAAATCAATTGCTTTCATATTAATTTACATGTTGTCTAGACATGACATCATGTTAATTCTTTGTGTGGTTCAACTAATTACAGACTTTCTGGGTAACAGATGCAAACTTTTTGTTTAAAGCTCTAAACATAAATCAAGGTTAGAGTGGTGGTCCAGCTTATTTTAGGTTAGGCTATTTTGTTTTTTTGTTTTTAAATTGGTACAAAGCTACATATTAAAGTCTGGAATGGAAATAATTTAATCAGTTTAACAGGGAAATGACTTCTGATAAAGACAAAGAGAGACACATGTAATTGTTAGTGAGATAAATTTTAGAAAAATGAGAAAATTGTTAGAAAGTGAATGAAAATCCCTGCACTCAATTGGTGTATAAGAGACAGAAATATTATTAAAATGATTCTTACTTGCAAATTTCAGCTTGAGCTTCTACCTGTTCCATTCAGGGTCTGAACTTCACATAATAGAGTAGCTCTCCTGTGGACAGTGTTTATTTAATTCTGATAATTCACTTAATTCTTATATCTTTTGAACATCTCAGAGTTTAGTGGTCTTAATTTTCTGAGTACAGTAGGTAGCTGTGATAAAAAGTAAGCCAATTAAAATAAATTGGAAATATTTCCTTCTTTTCTTATTACTCTCCAGAATCCAAAACTAAAATTGGTGGTCTATGTCCAGATTGGTGAGACCTAATCAGAGGTCATTTGTTTACCAGTGTACAAATGTTCCTTAGAAATCAACATTTATAAAAACCCCAACCATTAAATTTCAGTTTTCCTTATTTGGCTTATATTGGAACTTTAAGATGGACAAGTCCAATAGAATGAATCATTATTTTCCTTTTTTAAAATTTTCCTGAGTGGGGGCGCCTGGGTGGCTTAGTGAGTTAAGCATCTGACTCTTTGTTTCAGCTGAGGTCATGATCTCACAGTCTGTGAGTTCAAGCCCCACATTGGGCTCTGTGCTGACAGCATGGAGCCTGCTTGAGATTCTCTGCTTTCCTTCCTCTCTTTCTGTCCCCCCCTCCCCCACTTGTGCTCTCTTTCTCTCCCGCTCTCAAAGTAAATAAATAAACTTAAAAAAAAATAAATAAGTAGATATAGATTTCCCGAGTTGATTTAGGAAATGAGCTTTCCCCTCTTCAAAACGTATGTTACAGATACCTGGTTTCTTTAATTCAATGTCAGTTATACGTTATGCATTTTACAACCCCACTCTTATTTATTGGGAAATCCAATTTCTCCCTACAAAAATGGCATTGACTTGTACACACATGAGAAAGTCACTATAGAAGACAAAAAGACTCCATGTTATGTCAAAGGGATTCGTGTATTCTCTATTCTGGGATGGACAGCAATGTTGAAATGCCAACACAATGCTACCTCTGTTCCCCAGCTTGTTCGGTGTATCATGTATTACTCTTGAGCATGAAATTCTACTGTTAGTAATTGGGCTTTTCTTGTTGTTCTTGTTGTTTTGTAATCTATAAGGAAGACTGCCCCTAGCAGTAAAATGCTTGAAATTTTAATCCTCTTGAAGATATCTTTAAGTGTAAACACACATTAACATCCTAAGCATTATGCTATTTACCTATGTACCACTAGTGATACCTACTTTCACCTTTATCCCTGAATAAATCTTAATTTGAGAGTTTTATAAAGTTTTAGTTTCAAAATATCACTTTTTAAGACTTTGTAAACAGTTTTACTTAAAAATTGCAACTGTAGTACAAGGGAATTTCCATGTACCCTTCACCAACATTTCACCAAGATTTTAAAAATGTTATCATTTTATAATTAAAATGGTTGTTGGTGTTCTCTTTCTCTTTTTCTCACTCACTTGCTCTCCATGTCTCTCTCTCTCTCAACTTATATATATATATATATATATATATATATATATATATATATATATATATATATGTATGAATGATCCAAAATAACTTATTAACAAAGAGAATATTACTAAGACTCTAAGGGGACTTTGAATTAATAAGTCATCATTTTCCTATTGCTTTGAACATTATCTAAAACAAACATTTTTTTTATTTGCCTTGGATAATTGATGTAGCATATTAAATAATTTTGTTCCCCAGCTTGGACTTACACTCACTCAATAGGCATAGAAATCACAGTGAGGTTTTTTTCTGGATTGGATGATATGATGGTGCAAGTTTTCTTCTTTAGCCTATTTTTTTAATGTACATTTGTTTTTGAGAGATTGAGACAGGGTGGGAGGCAGGGAGAGAGGGAGACACAAAATCTGAAGCAGGCTCTAGGCTCTGAGCTGTAAGCACAGAGCCCAATGCGGGGCTCGAACTTGCAAACAATGAGGTCATGACTTGAGCCAAAGTAGGATGCTTAATGTACTGAGCTCCCAGGCGCCCCTTCTTTAGCCTATTGATATGGTGGATTGTGTTGATTGATTTTCAAATATTGAACTAGACTGCTATCCCAGGATACTTGGCCATGAAATATAATATTTATTTATATTTTCTCAATTCAACTTGCTAATATTTTAAGGATTTTTTGCCTATATTTTTGAGAAGTATTGGTCTTTATTTCCCCCCACCTCTATTGTCTAGTGTATTTTCTTTGTCTAGTTTGGTATGAGTAACACCAATACCATAAAAATAATAGGGAAGTGTTCCCTTTTTTTTTTCTATATTTTAAAAAGAGATTGTGGAATTCCTGATAATTCTTCTTTAAATGTTTGTGGAGATTTTTTAAAGTTTTCTTAAATTTATTTTTGAGAGAAAGAGAGTATACACACAAGCAGCGGAGGGGCAGAGAGAGAGGGGGGTACAGAGGATCTGAAGTGGGCTCTGCATGCAGAGTAGAGAGCCCAATGTGGGGCTCAAACTCATGTGAACCACGAGATCATGACCTGAGCTGAAAGCAGACTGTCAACTGACTGAGCCACCCAAGAGCCCCTGTTTGTGGAGTTTTCCAGTAAAACTCTCTGGGCCTTGAAATTTCTTTTCTAGGAGTTTTTAAATTACAAATTAAATTTTCCTAGTAGTTATAGAGATATTTATTTTTTCTATTTTATAGCAGGTGAATTGTGGTTATTTGTGTTCTTTGAGGAAATGGTCCATTTTGTGTAAACTGTCACATTATGTAAATAAAGTTATTTGGAGTATGCCCTATTATCCTTTTGAAGTCTACAGTATCTATAATAATGTCCCATAACATTTCTGATATGGTAATTGTGTCATCTTTATTTTTTCTTTGTCAGTATTGCTACGGATTTGCCAATCTGATTGGACTTTTAAAAGCACTAGCTTAAAGTTTTAGTGATTTTCTCTATTGCTTTCCTGTTTTCATTTGAACTTATTTCTGCTCTTACCTTCATTATTTATTTTTTTGGTTTTCATCAGGTTTATTTTGCTCTTCTTTTTCTGTGTTCTTGAGGTGGATGCTTAGATTGCTGTATTGGGATTTTTGTTCTTTACTAACATATACTTTTTTAAACCATGTTCATTTTGAGAAAGAAAGAGCACATGTACATGAGCAGACAGGCAGAGAGAGAGGCAGAAG